TTTTTTCTAAAATAGGGTCCTGTTAACTTGTTATAACTTTTATAGTGTCTATTTCCTCACCTGCCTGCAGCCTCCATGTCTAGCTTGCTCTACCATTTGATGTCTGTTGCCTGGTTCATCACCTGTCACATAGTGGCTGCATGATAAATATTTGTTGAATACATCAATGAATCGGCCAGGCATGATAGCTCACGCCTGTGATCCCAGAACTTTGGGAGGGCAAAGTGGGCAGATTGCTTGAGGTCAGGAGTTTGAGACCAGCCTCTCCAACATGGTGAAACCCTGTCTCTACTAAAAATACAAAAATTATCCAGGCATGGTTGTGGGCACCTGTAATCCCAGCTACTGAGGAGGGTGAGGAAGGAGAATCGCTTGAACCCGGGAGGCAGAGGTTACAGTGAGCCGAAATCACACATGATCAGCCACTGCACTCCAGCCTGGGTGATAGAGCGACTCTGTCTCAATACATGCAGGAACAAATGAATCAATCCAGATGTTGATGAAGGAACTTGGACCAAATCAGGAAGGGCCTGTCTTCCAGTTGGGTGTGGGTAAGCACAGAAAAATATTGGTGAAAGGGCTTTGGGGACACCTTGAGTGCAAAGCTCTGTCGAGAAGAGTTAATGAAACATCCAGCTTAGGCTGGGCGAGGTGGCTCACGCTTATAATCGCAGCACTTTAGGAGGCTGAGGCGGGCAGATTACAAAGTCAAGAGATAAAGACCATCCTGGCCAACATGGTGAAACCCATCTCTACTAAAAATACAAAAATTAGCTGGCTTGGTGGCAGGTACCTGTAATCTCAGTTACTCGAGAAGCTGAGGCAGGAGAATCACCTGTAATCCCAGTTATTCGAGAGGCTGAGGCAGGAGAATCGCTTGAACCCAGGAGGCAGAGGTTGCAATGAGCTGAGATTGTGCTACTGCACTCCAGCCTAGCGACAGAGCGAGTCCATCTCAAAAGAAAGAAAGAAAAGAATGAAAGAGAAAGAAAGGAAAGAAAGAAAAAGAAAGAAAGGAAGGAAGGAAAGAAAGAAACATCCATCCAGCTGGTGGAAACTACTGCTCTTGCCCAGGCTCCATAGGGAGGATGTGGTGTTAGTGTTATTTTTAGCGGGAATAGCTGATCCTCAGGACTCTCCCTTTCTCCCTGCAAACAGAGAGGGCAGTCTGTTGAATGCAGTGTTGGCACAGGAGTGCATGCCCATGTACATGAGTTATGTGATTCAATGGAAAGAAATATAAAATAAGCGAAGAGAGATCACAATGGGTGAGGGTTCTTCAGGCCCATCCATCTGGGGGCAAGAACCTGGCAATATGGCACTCTGGAGCATGCCTCTGTGGAGGCAGGGACATGCTCAGGTAAGAGCAGTGGCCTGGCTCAATTCCAGCTCTGCCGCTCACCTACTGTGCAGCCTCATTAGGGTACTTCATTTCTCTGAGCCTCACTTTCCGGTTTTGTAAATTGGGAATGGAAGTATACATAGAATCTACATCAGATAATTGTGTTTTTTTGTTTGCTTCTTTTTGAAATGGAGTCTCGCTCTGTGGCCCAGGCTGGAGTGCAGTGGTGTGATCTCTGCTCACTGCAACCTCTGCCTCCCAGGTTCAAGCGATTCTCCTGCCTCAGCCTCCCGAGTAGCTGGGATTACAGACATGCACGACCACACCTGGCTAATTTTTATATTTTTAGTAGAGACAGAGTTTTTCCATGTTGGTCAAGCTGGTCTTGAACTCCTGACCTCAGGCAATCTGTCCGCCTTGGCTTCCCAAAGTGCTGGGATTACAAGTGTGAACTACTGTGCTTGGCCAGATAATTGTTTTTATTATTATTATCATTTTGTAGACAGAGTCTCGCTCTGTCACCCACACTGGGGTGCAGTGGCACAATCTTGGCTTACTGTAACTGCCACCTCCCAGGTTTAAGTGATTCTCCTGCCTCAGTCTCCTGAATAGCTGGGATTACAGGTGCGCACCAGCATGCTCAGCTAATTTTCTGTATTTTTAGCAGAGACGAGGTTTCACCATGTTGGCCAGGCTGGTTGCAAACCCCTGACCTCAAGTGATACGCCTGCCTCACCCTCCCAAAGTGCTGGGATTACAAGCATGAGCCACTGTGCCTGGCCTATTTTCAATTGTTTTTATCATTATTATTATTTTTTGAGACTGAGTCTTACTCTGTCACCCAGGCTGGAGTGCAGCGGTGCAATCTCGGCTCACTTCAAACTCTGCCTCCCAGGTTCAAGCAATTCTCCTGCCTCAGCCTCCAGAATAGTTGGGATTACAGGCATGTGCCACCATGCCTGGCTAATTTTTTTTTTATTTTTAGTAGAGACAGGGTTTCACCATATTGGCCAGGCTGGTGTTTTTTATTTAAAAAAAAATTTTTTTTTCTTTCTTTTTTTTTTTTTTTGAGACGGAGTTTCGCTCTTGTTACCCAGGCTGGAGTGCAATGGCGAGATCTAGGCTCACCGCAACCTCCGCCTCCTGGGTTCAGGCAATTCTCCTGCCTCAGTCTCCTGAGTAGCTGGGATTACAGGCACTTGCCACCATGCCCAGCTAATTTTTTGTATTTTTAGTAGAGACGGGGTTTCACCATGTTGACGAGGATGTTCTTGATCTCTTGACTTTGTAATCCACCCGCCTCAGCCTCCCAAAGTGCTGGAATTACAGGCTTGAGCCACCACGCCCGGCCTATTTTAAAAAATTTTTTATTCTTTTTAGAGATAGAATCTCGCTCTGTCACCCAGGCTGAAGTACAGTGGCATGATAATGGCTCACTGTAGCCTCTACCTCCCAGGCTCAAGCTATGCTCCTGCCTCCACCTCCACAGTAGCTGTGACTGCAGGGGTGTGCCATCACACCTGGCTAATTTTTAAATTTTTGGTAGAGACAGGGTCATGACATGTTGCCCAGTCTGGTCTGGAACTCCTGGGTGCAGGGTATCTGCCTGCCTCGGCTTCCCAAAGTGTTAGGATTACAGGCATGAGCCACCACGCCCAGTCAACATCAAAGAATTAGATAAGAGAATATGCACAGAGCCTTCAGAATGATGTGTCACAAAGTAAGTGCTCAGTAAATGTGGATCTTGCTTGTGGGCGGGGAGATTTAATCAGGCTACTCCAAGCCTGGACCCTCCTCATAATCACACAAGGCTCTCAGCTGCCATACTCATTTAGCTTACCAAGATCCTCAGCAAGAGGAAGGATGAGGCCAGGTGTGGTGGCTCAAGCCTGTAATCCCAACACTTTGGGAGGTGAATCACTTGAGGCCAGGAGTTCGAGATCAGCCTAGCCAATGTGGTGAAACCCCGTCTCTACTAAAAATACAAAAATTGAGCCAGGCGCGGTGGCTCAAGCCTGTAATCCCAGCACTTTGGGAGGCCGAGGCGGGTGGATCACGAGGTCGAGAGATCGAGACCATCCTGGTCAACATGGTGAAACCCCGTCTCTACTAAAAATACAAAAACTAGCTGGGCGTGGTGGCACATGCCTGTAATCCCAGCTACTTAGGAGCCTGAGGCAGGAGAATAGCCTGAGCCCAGGAGGCGGAGGTTGCGGTGAGCCAAGACCACGCCATTGCACTCCAGCCTGGGTAACAAGAGCGAAACTCCGTCTCAAAAAAAAAAAAAAAAAAAAAAAAAAAAAAAAAAAATACAAAAATTGGCCAGGTGTAATGGTGCATGCCTGTAACACCAGCTACTGGGGAGGCTGAGGCACAAGAATCGCTTTGAACACGGGAAGCAGAGGCTGCAGTGAGCTGAGATAGTGCCACTTCTCTCCAGACTGGGCAACAGAACAAGGAGAAAAAAAAAAAAAAAAAAGGAGGAATACTGGATTCTGGTCTCTGGCCTCTGGAAGGGTATAAGAAGCATTTCCAGGCCAGGCATGGTGGCTCATGCCTGTAATCCCAGTACCTTGGGAGGCCGAAGCAGGCTGATCACCTCAGGTTGGGAGTTCCACACCAGCCTGACCAACATAGAGAAACCCCAACTCTAGTAAAAATACAGAAAATTAGCTGAGCATGCTGATGCGCACCTGTAATCCCAGCTACTCAGGAAGCTGAGGCAGGAGAATTGCTTGAACCTGCGGGGTGGAGGTTGTGGTGAGCTGAGATCTCACCATTGCACTCCAGCCTGGGCAACAAAAGCGAAACTCCATCTCAAAAACAAACAAACTAAGCATTTCCATGTGGACTGTGGTGAATTGACCATGTGAGACTGTCTGCCCTGCCCTCCCTAGCTGCTTTCTTGGTACAGCAGGCTTGACTTGGGAAATCACCTTCTCAGAATCCCAGTTCCTCAACTGAAAAGTAGGTAAAAAGCGATCTATTTGCAGAGCTGTGTGTGAGTCAAAAGCCAGGGAACACCTTGCACACTGCGAGGTTTTCATCGTGAACTCGATTCTTGCAGTCTTGCCCCCAGCACATTTTATGTGGCCCTCTCTCCTCTGTGCTTCAATTTTCCTGTGTGTAAAATAGGGAGAGTCTACTGCCTTCCGTGGGGGCTGTAAAATGTTTTTAAACTGTTTTGGACGTGGGGCCGGAGAGATGTCTTGAATTCCGGCCAAGGCCAAAGCAGGTGCTTCGCTTCCTCGGTGCACGCCCTACAACAGGTGGGCTCCGCGTAGCAGGTGCTGCTGCGCCCTCTGCCGGTCGGGGCGGGAGACAAAAACGGGGGAGTAGGGAGAATTACAGCGCCTCAGGGAGCTATTTCAGAGGGGGCAAGTGGAAGGCGCTAAGCGAACAGATAATGAAATTACTGAAAGAGTTAATATGTTAGTGCACCGCTTGGAACGCAGAGGGAAGGACCATTTGCGGTGCAGTTGGTGGTTCCTTCCCTCTGAATTTAGGTCCATTTGGTTTGTCCCGGAGTGCTTATCAACACGTCAGAGGGCCTGGGAACGGAGCGTCCTGGGAAATATAGTTTCCAGACGGGCTTCCCGCGCCACTTCCCGGCGCCCTTGGCGGCGAGAGGACTCCATCTCCCGACGTGCCCCGGGTCCGGGAGGCGGAGGGCCGCTGTGGCGTCGGGCCCGTGGCCGAGCCGGGGGTGGGGCTCGAGGCGCCTCCGCGGCCGTGGACAAGCGTCCGTGCGGCCTGGTCCGGGCCATGTCGGTGTGAGGACCCCGCCGCCGCCGCCGCCGACCCACTCGTTCTGGCCCCGGCCCCATCCCCGGCCCGGCAGCGCCGCGCACCATGGGCTCCATTCTCAGCCGTCGCATCGCGGGGGTGGAGGACATCGATATCCAGGCGAACTCGGCCTATCGCTACCCTCCGAAGTCCGGTGAGCGACCGGTCCCCGGCGCGTTCGGCGGGGCGTGGGCTGGAACGCGGGCCCGGCGGGCGCGGGCGCGGGGGCGGAGAGCTGGGGGCTGGGCGCACTATTCGATCCCCTCTGGGTCTTGTACTTTCCCAGAGCCTTCGCGCGGCCCCTTGGCCCCGGGGTCCCGAGCCTTAGGCGTGGCTGGGGACCCCGGAGGAACCAGCGCCAGCCGTGTGCGGCACTGCCACTGCACGGCTGGGGTGACCTTGGGGCAGTCCCTTCGCCCCGGCCGCCTCAGCTCTGTCCTGGGGGGCGGGGAGCTCCTGGGGGAAGCCCTGAGGGCGGGGCGGGGTGCTGAGCCGGGGTCCCGACGCTTCGCTCCTGCCTGGAAAGGGCTCATTGTCGTCAGATTGACCTCACCACGGGGCCGGTTTTCGCTTTCTTTGGTGGCTTGGTGTGAAGGCCAAGCCAGTGGTTTGGGCACTTTCCCACCCATCAAGACGGAGGCTGTTGGTGTGTGTGGGTGGGGGGAGTGGGATTGGGCCCAAGGAGATGATTCGAATTGATGGAGAGGGCCCAGGGTCCTTGCTGAGAGGACAGGAGAGTATTTGGAGAGGACCCACCCGTTTACTCAGGTCTCCGTTTTATGGCTGAGGGACTTAAGTCACCAAGGAGGAAGTGACTGTCAAGATTTCAGCTGGATGGAAGCACAGTTGGAATCAGGACCAGATGTGGGGCTCCCAGGCAGTCTTGTTCCCCGCTCTCTTCCTGCCTCTATTGATGAACATGGGTTGACTGGGAACATCTGGCTCCAGATTCTCATCCTCCATCTCCTGCCGTCATTTGTGGTGGAAAGGAGAAGAGGAAGAGGAGCGAGAACTTGGGCGTCGCGGGGACATCCAGCTTGGGTCCTCAGATCCTGGTTTCTCCTCTGATGTCCCAGTCTCCCGGTTATCTCTGGACACCCACGGGCCAGAGTTCTCTGAGTGTGGGCCAGGTCCACAGAGGAGAGGACTGTTAGACATGCCAGACCCTGCCTGCCTTGGACCCACCGGGGCCTGGGAAGCTGCGTTGTCAACCCATTCCCCACTTGAGTTTTATGTCCACTCAAGTTTAAAAAATTGCTCTTCATCGTTGCTGTTTAGAGTAAATAAACTGTTCATATATGTGCGTATATACATATATATGAAAAAAAACAAAAAAACAAAAACAACAACTTAACCTGCCCAGGTTTTGTAAGGTGTGACAAGGTGAAGATCTGGGGCCACTGGTTGAAGTGAGGGGAACCAGCACAGTTTGGGGGCACCGTGAAGGGGATGGATTCAGAGCTGGGCAGAACACACTGTTGCCTGCCTGCTGGAGAGAGCACCTAGGCGTCCCCAGACTTTTTACACAGGGGGCCAGTTCACTGTCCCTCAGACCGCTGGAGGGCTGCCACATACTGTGCTCCTCTCAATGACCACCAATGAAAGAGGTGCCCTTCCTGAAGTGCGGCGGCTGTGGGGGAGGTGGGGGCGGGCGGATAAATGGCCTCAGGGGGCCGCATGCTGGCCGTAGTTTGGGAACGCCTGCTCTAGGGGGTTCGGCCCTGGGGTTTCCCTGGAAGTTCTGAGGGCTGATGGCCCCGTGTCCGATGGAGCAGTTTGCTGTTGTCCTCTTCCACCTCTGATGTTCTTCCAGCATGTCTCTGGCTGAGTGACCTTGGTTGAGGTTGCTTAACCCTCTGGATCCTGATTTCCTCATCTGTAAAATGGGCTGGTGCTTATATAGCCCTCAGAATCACACCTGGCTCAGAAGTCCCTGCCAAATGCTAGCTGCTCTAATTGCTCATAAAGGAGGCTAGGTGACTGGCTAATGACCCTAATCATAGTAAGGACTGGCATGACAGAGATATCAAAAAGTTGAGTGGCACTTCCTGTCACCTGGGACCTGAGCTCTCTTGATGTCCCTTCACTTGGACTGGGCAAAATGACACATACATGGCATTGACAGCCCACTTCTGGATCCCACTGTGGCTGAAATGTCATTGCTAATCACTCATGGCCCTCCTTCCCACTGAGCATCCATCATAGAACACCTGAGTCAGCCACTATTAATTGGTTGGCACTGGCACGCAGGAGAAACCCATCGGCCGTCTGGGTCATGCTGCCAGTGCCAGCAGTGTTCTGGGCCAGTAGAGTCCTCAGGTCCTCTCCAGCTATGCTTTTTTCCATTTTCTTTTTTTTTTTTTTTTTTTTTTTTTTTTTTTGAGACGGAGTTTCGCTCTTGTTACCCAGGCTGGAGTGCAATGGCACCATCTCGGCTCACCGCAACCTCCGCCTCCTGGGTTCAGGCAATTCTCCTGCCTCAGCCTCCTGAGCAGCTGGGATTACAGGCACACGCCACCATGCCCAGCTGATTTTTTGTATTTTTAGTAGAGACGGGGTTTCACCATGTCGACCAGGATGGTCTCGAACTCTCGACCTCGTGATCCACCCGCCTCGGCCTCCCAAAGTGCTGGGATTACAGGCTTGAGCCACCGTGCCCGGCCGCTTTTTTCCATTTTCTTCTCCATCGATTCCTGGGACCTTGCAGACTCTTGTGCTTCTCTTTATTCATCCCCCCTGGTCCTTTGCTTGGTGCAAGGGTTTTAGGATGCCGGCCCTTGCCTTTGTGCCCCCATTGGTTTCCTAGACTCCCTCCTCCCCTCTCTCCTTAAAGAGAACTCCAGCTGGGCGCGGTGGCTCAAGCCTGTAATCCCAGCACTTTGGGAGGCCAAGGCGGGTGGATCACGAGGTCGAGAGATCGAGACCATCCTGGTCAACATGGTGAAACCCCGTCTCTACTAAAAGTGCAAAAAATTAGCTGGGCATGGTGGCATGTGCCTGTAATCCCAGCTACTCAGGAGGCTGAGGCAGGAGAATTGCCTGAGCCCAGGAGGCGGAGGTTGCGTTGAGCCGAGATCGCGCCATTGCACTCCAGCCTGGGTAACAAGGGCGAAACTCCGTCTCAAAAAAAAAAAAAAAAAAAAAAAAAGAGAACTCCATAAGGTCAAGGATGGGAGGCAGACTGGGAGCAGGGCAGATGTTTGAAATGGTTTTGGGGGTTGCTCCCATATACCATTCAGTTACCTGATGAGAAAGGTTTCTTTTCAAATCTCTGTCAATGTTGTTGGTTATGTCAAGGAGAAAGAAGCATTGGGTGCTAACGTATGTATTTTTAACACCGAACAGTCCAGTTTTCTTTTTTTTTTTTTTTTTTTGAGACGGAGTTTCGCTCTTGTTACCCTGGCTGGAGTGCAATGGCACGATCTCGGCTCACCGCAACCTCCGCCTCCTGGGTTCAGGCAATTCTCCTGCCTCAGCCCCTCCTGAGTAGCTGGGATTACAGGCACGCACCACTATGCCCAGCTAATTTTTTGTATTTTTAGTAGAGACGGGGTTTCACCATGTTGACCAGGATGGTCTCGATCTCTTGACCTCGTGATCCACCCGCCTCGGCCTCCCAAAGTGCTGGGATTACAGGCGTGAGCCACCGCGCCCGGCCCAGTCCAGTTTTCTTAATGGAACTTTCGGTATGTTCTGCAGCAGTGCTCAGCTCAAATTTAATATTCGCTTTGTTTTCACTGTATTTTAGTCTTCATAGCTTTATTGAGGTATAGTTCATGTCCCACACAACTCGTCCATTGTAAGCATGACTTGATGGTTTTTAGTTAATTTATAGAATTGTGCAGTTGTCACCACAGTTACAGACATTTCCTTCATAAAAGTTTCCTTCCATCTGTTTGCAAAGTCCCTGCCCCAACCTCTACCTTCAGCCCATCAGTGATCTGCTTTCTTTCTTCCTTTTTTTTTTTTTTTTTTTGGTTGAGATGGAGTCTTGCTCTGTTGCCAGGCTGGAGTGAAGTGGCATGATCTTGGCTCACTGCAAACTCCACCTCCCAGGTTCAGGTAATTCTCCTGCTTCAGCCCCCTGACTAGCTGGGACTGCAGGCACATGCCACCATGCCCGGCTAATTTTTATAATTTTAATAGAGACGGGTTTTACCATGTTGGCCAGGATGGTCTCAATCTCCTGACCTTGTGATCCACCTGCCTCAGCCTCCCAAAGTGCTGAGATTACAGGCATGAGCCACTGCACCTGGCCCTGCTTTCTTTTTCTTTCTTTCTTTCTTTCTTTTTTTTTTTTTGAGATATAGTCTCCCTCTGTTATGCAGGCTGGAGAGCAGCGGTGGGATCTCAACTCACTGCAACTTCCGCCTCCTCATTTCAGGTGATCATCCCTCCTCAGCCTCTGGAGTAGCTAGGATTACAGGTACCTGCCACCACGCCCGGTTAATTTTTGTATTTTTAGTAGAGGCAGGGTTTTCATCATGTTGGCCAGGCTAGCCTTGAACTCCTGACCTCAGGTGATCCATCCGCCTCGGCCTCCCAAAATGCTGGGATTACAGGTGTGAGTCACCGAGCCTGGCATTCTTTCTGTTCGTATATGTGTATGTGTGTGTGAAAAATGTCTATTTGAGTCTTTTGTCGAATTTTTAAAAACTGGATTATCTTACGGTGTTTTTTTTTTTTTTTTTTGAGACGGAGTTTCGCTCTTGTTACCCAGGCTGGAGTGCAATGGTGCGATATCGGCTCACCGCAACCTCCGCCTCCTGGGTTCAGGCAATTCTCCTGCCTCAGCCTCCTGAGTAGCTGGGATTACAGGCACGCGCCACCATGCCCAGCTAATTTTTTGTATTTTTAGTAGAGACGGGGTTTCACCATGTTGACCAGGTTGGTCTCGATCTCTCGACCTTGTGATCCACCCGCCTCGGCCTCCCAAAGTGCTGGGATTACAGGCTTGAGCCACCGCGCCCGGCTATCTTATGGTGTTGTAACAAAGAGTTCTTTATGTGTTCTGGATAGGATTCCTGTATCAGCCATGTGATTTGCAAATATTTTCTCCAAGTCTGGCCTGCCTTTTAATTTTCTTTTTCTTTTCTTTTCTTTTTTTTTAAGAGGGAGTCTCTCTCTGTCGTTCAGGCTGGAGTGCAGTGGCGC